ATATATATATATATATATATATATATATATATATATATATTATAACAACAATGAAAATCAAAATAAGTTTTCATCCATTTATTTCAAAATAATGATTTATGAAAATTAGTACAATAATTTCTCATTTCATTACCACCTAAGATTATATTATTATTAGTCATTTGAAATCTTATACAATGTTAATTAAGAAATATTCTTATGAAATTTAAATAAATACTTTTTAACAAAGTGAATTTATTTTTTTGACAATAACAAAGATAAATGTTAGTCATTGACATTTTTCAATCCTTTTTTAGTAATTTTTCAATTTTATTTTCTAGACCAATTTATGTATAATTCAATTAAAAATATGATAATTAAATAATAATTCTTATAGTGTAATATTCATTAGCAAATTTATTAAAATTATTTAATTAAAACTCAACTATATATTATTGTGTGTGAAATTTGATTATTATTTTCAAACTAACCTGTAAAAATAAAAATAAATAAAAAAGGTAGAGAAAAAAAATTGCAATATAAGATGTTATTGGAAACCAAACCTACTTTTAATCATTTTTTTCTAAAATTTTCGATGAACAATTTTTTCTTATCAAGCAATTTTTTAATTATACATTTCTTATTTTAACATTTTCAATGTTTTAATAAAATCTTTTTAATTTTATTTTTAAACTATAAAATAAAATGCTACTAATACTTTTAATATATACTATTTACATTTCTATTTATAATTAACAATAATTTTTTATTTAATATTTTTTCATAACAGATATTCTAATCCAATTTAGTCTCTTAATTTATGATATTTAATGTAATTAATGATATATAATTATTGATAAAAGTATCATTTACTTTATTTATTTTTAAAATCCAATTTATTCTCTTATATTATAAATAGATAGATAGATTAAATTAATTCAACTTAATTTATTTCTATAATTGTGAGTATTTTTGTCTCTTTTAATTTGACTATCTGAACACAAGAACAACCTTAAAATCAAGGAATGAGTTATGGGTCACATTGAGACTCACATAATATTTGATTAGGAGATATATTTTTTTTAAAAAATTGTTTGATCCAATTTTTAAGAGGGAGCAAAATTCCTCCTAATTCAAATTGTAGAGGAGGGAAAGGATTTTAATATTTTTTTAGTAAAATATCCAACATATCCTTATTTATGTTATTAAATTTAAAATTATAAAAATATAAAAATAATATTATTGTTAAGATCCTTCCTATCTTCTCATCCAAATAAAATTTCTATCTTCTCTCCTATTCTCCATTCTTCTTTTCTCCCCTTTCCTCTATTAAAATCTCTCTCTTCCTCTCTTCTCCTTGGAATCATCCTTCGAATGAGTGTCAAAAATTTGACATAAGAGAAGAAAATTTAGATTTATTTATGAAAGTATAAGTGTTATTTTGGACAATAATTCACAATTTATTAGCATAGAAGGGATAACGCTCCTATCTTGCTTATGACACTCATGTTAAGAGATTTCAAAATATTTATTTAGCTGTTAAATCTATATTGTAATTATCTACTAGAATTATGATTTGCTTTGAACATGGTTGATATCGATCATTGTAGGGTTATTATTAAAGCTAATTACGTAAAGGAGATTGTTTTGAAACTATTTACACCATTGTATAACCTATAGCAACATTGTAATAAATTGTCCTAAAAGCGTAAATAGTTTCAAAGCAGTCCTATTTACATAATTAGTTATAAAAAAATACCTTACAATTGTCAATCAGCCTTTGAACATGAAGGAGAACTATTAACATCGAGGGCTATCCTGAATTTTTTAAGGATTTAAAAATAACATGATATTTTCAATTATTTAAATATTATTCTTATTTTAAAAAAAAAAAACTTATAAAAATATTAAAATTATTCTTTAGATGATTCATAAAAAAACATTTTATTTAGTACCATTTTTTAATAATTCATCTCGTAAATTATTTTTAATATTATTTTATATTATTAAATTTTAAATATTTAATAAATTATATTTATTAAGTTGTCCAACATTGATATATTAACTTTTATCATCAAAATATTTGATTTTATCGTGATAATAATTTTTATTTTCATTATTTTTAACTAAAAGATTACGTTTTTTTAATTATTTTTTCATTCTCAAAAATTTTAGTTTGAAAGTTAATTTAGATTATCTAAATTTATATTATTTTAAAAAAATTATCATGGCATGTATTTGAGAATCAATATCAAATTTAATTTATCTGTTTCTTCTTCATTAAATAATCAGAAGACTGATTTTTATGCAAGATGCTAAAAGTTAAACAACAAATTAAACAAGTGTAGATAAAAAAATTAAATAAGAATAAACAACAGTACTTAATTAGTTATATTTAAACATTCGTATCTAGCGTCCTCTCGGAGCATGAAAGGATCATATGTTTATTTGGATGGGAACCAGTGGAATCCACGAACAAAAAGTTAAGTTAGGTAAAGTAGCGAAAGATCTTATCTTTATTTTTTCAGCCAAAATGAAAAGGAAAGACAATAGAGGCGATTACTTTGCTTTTCCTTTAATTTTGCCCTCAGGGACTTGGGCAGAATCATCTTTATTTAGTCAATTCTCGCGCACTTCCAATTTATCCCTCGCAGTTGTCAATGCATAGTTGGTTTCCATCTTCTTCTCCGTTCTGTCTAAATAAATTACAATAAATGTCCACTTGAATTGAGTATGTCAGAAACCATACTAAACAGCACAGCACATAAACAATGAAAACTCTAAATTCAGAAATTTCTTATATGCTTCATACTCCTGGCCTCTAAAATAAAGCCAAGTAATAATAATTTCTTCAAAACCCGGGCATGGAGGATGATCAGAGCCTCAAATATACACACATTGCTGCCTACAAATAAGGGTCGCTACGTGAAATTGCGTGTTTGGAATACTAAGAGAATTTAACATTAAAAAGGACAAGTAATTTCCAACATCAAGCAATAACTTTTAAATATGATGAAATTGAAGAGGTTATACAAAAACTAAAGTGACTACTGACTGACTTAATCCAAGCGGTAGTGTGAGTTGTGTGTTAATATACACATGAAAGAATGAAATGTTAGGCTTAATAAATAATTGTTATGCTATTTTTTTTTTTGGACAAATGTTTTGCTTAGGATGATAAGAAACTTTTCATTCATATATATTTTTCAATATATGGTATTATTTCCTCTCAATGTACGTACTTCAGTCATTAAAAATTATAAAATCTAACTAATACATTTCTTTCGATTTAGTTTCTCCTTTTCTTTTAACTCCCTCCTGATCGACAAATTATTATGTTGTTTATGTTAAAAAAGGTGAGTTAATTCTTTTTTTACTAAATTACTAGCCAACATAATGTCAAAAAGGTGATTTAAATTTTGACTTTTGTATTTAATTTTTAAAGCATTGATTTTAGTTTTTATAATTTTTTAAAATTCCCAAACTTATGTCCCTGTATAAGAAAAAAGTGATATAGCTTGTAGAGATTAAAATTTAATTTTAAAAATACCAAGACGAAAACTATTCGTCTTAAAAGTAGAGAGAAAAATTAAAATTTGAGAATTATTCAAGACTAAACTTTAAAGTAATTAGTAAACAATGCACATTTATAATTGCTGATTTTAAAGCATACCATAACCTTGACCCACTAATTAAAAATATAATGTATATCATAACCTTGCTCACTTTAGTTTGGAAAATCCTCTACTTTGCACGATATAAATCCCCGGATCTGAAGCGACAAGATGAGAGAGACATCATATATTCCAAAATCAGTCCCATAGATACATGATGGGTGATGTTGAGATGAAGTCTTCATCAGTTGAGGTAGTCGTGTGTGCTTCCACAAACAAAACTAATGCCCTCCCAGTTAACACTACCAAGCCCTCACATTTGACCAAGCTCCATGCAGGTTACTTTTTCATAAGCCTTTCCTTCGGTGCACAAGCTTTGCTGTGGAAGAGTTTGAGTATACACAACAAGGACTCACAAACTCTCTGGCATGGATTTAATTTGATGCCATCCTTTGCATTTCTACTACTTTGGTGTGTGGCACTACTCTATCCTTTCTTTACGTGCTCAAGTGCATCTTTCACTTTGACATGGTGAAGGAGGAGTTTTCACATCACATTGGAGTGAACTGCGTGTATGCTCCTTGGATTTCTTGGCTTCTCATGCTTCAATCAGCACCTATGATCGTTCGTTCAGCTTCTTACTATCAAGTTCTTTGTTTGGCCCTTTCGTTTGTGGTACTGGTGCTTGACGTAAAACTATATGGACAATGGTTCACAACTAAAAAGAGGTTTCTGTCAATTGTGGCAAACCCTGTAAGCCAGGTTTCGGTTATAGGTAACTTGGTATCTGCTCAAGTTGTTGCAGAAATTGGTTGGAAAGAGAGTGCAGTTTTAATGTTCTCAATTGGGTTGGTATATTATTTAATAATATTTGTAACGCTGTATCAGCGTCTGACAAGTAGCAACCAGTTTCCCACAGTGCTAAGGCCAACTTACTTCTTGTGTTTTGCTGCACCAAGCGTCACAAGTCTAGCCTGGAAATCCATCACAGGTGCTTTTGTCACCCCATCAAAGATGCTGCTCTTTCTTTCTTTATTCCTTTTCATGTCTCAGGTAGCTCCCTTTCTATTGAAATTATTAAATGTTTATAGTCTCAATTGATTTCAATATGATATGTATTTAAGATATATTTATTTTTTTGGAAAAAAATTATTACATATTATCAAAAGATTAATTAGAGATCATATAATCTATAATCACTACTTGATATTTAATTATTACATATGATATGTTTGATTTCTATTTTCATTTTTTTTACATAAAGAAAATAAATGCCTTTATGCAACACTACTCTAGATAATTTACTCTTTGAAGTTAGCACTACAAAATAAAAGAAGAATGAAATCTAAGTTGTTTCTATTTTTTTTTAATTAAAATTCTTGTTTCAGGATTGGAATATGATATGGGTTTGTATTATACTTGTTTAGTTAGTCAGACTTAGGCCAATCTTGATGGAATAAAGGCCCAATGGGCCGACTTAATGGTTAAGTAGTTAGCCTACATAAAGACCGAAATAAAATTTAGTTTTTAGGGCTTAACGTGAATAGGTTACTTCTAAATATTATATAATTATTTTAAAAAATAGTTTTCAAAACAAAAATTAAAGATATCAAACAGTTCTTTAGCTTCTCAGTTTTGTTTGTTTGTGTGTTTTAATCTGTTTTATTATTCTATACGTGTGAACCTTTCTTCTCGAATTCAGGCTTGTAGGCCAACCCTATTCAAGAAATCCATGAAGAGGTTGAATGTTACATGGTGGGTGTACTCATTTCCTTTAACCTTCCTTGGTCTAGCTTGTGCGGAATATGCTCAAGAGGTGAAAAGTAGTATGGCCTCTTGGTTAATGCTGGTTATATGTATGCTCTCGGTACTGCTTTTCATTGGTTTAATGATCATCACTGTACTCAAAATTGAGAGGCTGCTCCATAAAAATGCTCCCATTATGACTTGAAAATAAAATGCTTCATTAAAGGCACTTCTCTCCTGTACACTTTGTTTGGTTTGAGAAAGGAAATAAAAAGAGAGAATATGAGTAAAAAAACAAGTAACAAAATAAATGAATAAATATAAATTTATAAGTCATTTAGTATAAGACAAACATAAAAGAAAGTAAGGAAGAAAAATTATTATTTTCAAGTAAAGACAAATACGTCCTCTTGGTTAAAAAAACTATTTAACTAAAAGTTTAAATTATATTTTTTATGCAATAAGTTAGTATTTTATATTATATTAAGATAAATAAATATTGACTATACACATATTTATAATTTTTACATTTATCTAAAGTTTAGTGCATGTAAATATCTTTAAGAATATTATATAATTTAGCCATTATGTTAATTAATTTTATATTTGTAAGATATAGTAAAAATATTAAGACTAAATTAAAAAGAAAAAGTTTTTAATTCTTTAAATTTGAAATAAATTTATTTTTAGTCACTCAAATTTAAAATTAATCTTTTATTCTTAATAAATTTTGTAAAAAAATATTGTAGTTTCACATGACTACCAATAACTTTACCGACAATGATAGGTTGAGTGAGTTGTATAATATCATGAGTCTAATGTAATGTTTTCATTAATAAAAAAAATTAGAAATGAATATTTTTTTCTTTAAATTCAATAATAGGTTTTTTTTTATTTATAAATTCACTAATGATATTTTATGATTTTATTTTTAGTTTCATGTATATGTTTGATTAAACATAAATTAATCTTTGATCAAATGCTACTTCCTAACATTTAATTGAGTAGGTGTAAAAGAAATAAAATTAATTGAGTTACTCAGCCAGTTTTTATTTTTCCTTTAACTTTTGATTAAGAGAAAATTATTTTTAACTAGAGACACTTGAAATTGTTGGGAATGATCAAAGACTAAATTACTGATTTATATAAATCGAATAAACTAGATACTAACATCATTAGTCCAAGTAGTTGAATTTGGTATTTTTGAATTTTTAAGTAAAATCCTAGGTGTGAGTCTTTAGGGGAAAAAAGTGTAATTCAGATATAAATCTTCACTATAGATAGCAACTAAATTTTTTTATTGCAATTAATTATCTATAGAGTCGGTAAACTCATTAATATAATGATAACTAAAAAAAAAAAAAGAATTGGAGAGATACATTAAAAAAAATCAATTATGAGTTACGTTAGATTAAGTATATTCAACTATATATTTGAACTATTAGGGTAGACCTAACTGAAAAATGTAAAATAAAACAAAGATTATTAAAGTCCCAAAATTAATTAATGGTATTGATTAAACATTATTGTTAAATTAATTAACAAAATTAGTAATAAAGATAAAATTTAACATATCTTAAAAAAGAGAAAACAAAAAAGTCCACATTTTAAAAATTAGAGACTAAAAAAGAAACTTTTAGATGCTTATAGAAATAAAAAGGATCCAAATTTATTCAAATATAATATATTTTTTTACAACTATAGTATATTCTTTTTAGATTTATTAAAATTATGCTATTTATTTAATATAATAAAAAATATTATTTTTAATTAAATTATATATCTATTTTTTATATATATAACAAGTATTTATATTTTAATTAAAATATTACATAAAAATTTATATTTATCGTATTGCCTAAGTTTCAACAAATTTCAGAATTGCCCTCCTGATATATAATATAAAAAAATTGCCAGATTAATTGAATTCATTCAAAATTTCATTTAAAAATTTGTAAAAAAGGAGTCATGTATTTGTAGCTAAAACAAATGCACATTTTTTGTGTGTTTATACGTTAGTACGTAGACTTCTAATAAATTGATAGATAAACGCATATACGTAAATCGTCAAGTATTGTGAAATGGTTAATCACACCGTAAATTTAATTTTTAGACTGCATCTGTGTTATTCTTTACAACGGCTCAAATTTTCAAATATATCAGATCAAAGTGAGAGTTTCATTTCAAGAAGAAAAGGCGAAAAAATCGTAGCTGTTGATAATTTTTTTTTATCAAAATAAATTTAAATAATTTCATAGTTTATTATATATATATATATATATATTTGCATAAATATTTAATTTTAAATATTAATTATTTGTTTAATAATTATATGTTTATTGTTTATTATTATTATTTTTTTTACTTTACACGAGGTTTATTTTTCTGCTTATGTCATGCATGTAGTTATTTGTTCCCACCTTTTTGTAAGGATAGCACTATGGCTATGACTTGACAAATCAACTCGCGTAACACAGTATTTATTAATGGGTTGGGTAGGATAGTATAACCTGTTGACCTTTTCAACTTGTCCTATATATTTAATCCATAACGTACAAAGATGGTTAAGATTTGTTGAGTCTAGTATTTGTTGAATGCTTTGCGTGGATTGAAATTTTTGCCTTGACATATATATAAAGCCACATAAACTTACTACAGCCATCAACCATGGTTAAAAATAGAGTTTTCCATCATAAGTAGCTTGCTGTTATGTTGGCAATATTTGTAATATCATGAATTTTTTTAAATAAATTAATGAAAATTTTAATTAATTAATTGAGAAGTACCACTACTACAAGATGCATATTCTACATCGGTTCTCTAAAGTTATCTACATCGGTTTTAAAACCGATGTAGAATAGACCGATGTAAAAAATGTATACATTTTTACATTGATTTTAAAAAATCGATGTAGATTGCATTTAAAAAAAAATCATGACCCAGTAGGAAGGTGCCAGCACAAACTAGCAAGGTGGCAGCACAAACTAGCAAGGTGGCAGCACAAACCAGAAGGGGACCACCACAACCCAGCAGCTCAAAACCCACTAACCAGCAGCAAAAATAGATCCCACCCTCCAGGGCCTGAGATTATGTGAGCATTTACTATATGTGCCCAATCCAATATATGAAAGATCCCTCTGAGATAATGGAACAGAAACAAGACAATGGAATATAAATATTGAATGCAAAAATAGATAAAAAGAATCCAGAAAATGGATTCCATGATAGTTGAATGAGCAGTCTTACCCTTCATATTGCATGGTCACTGTGTTACCAATATCAGCAAATTTACGATCCTCAAAGATTAAGAAGTTATGTTTTTCTGCAATCTTTATTAATTAATTCATTGTATAGTCCTCTGACATACATATATAGCTTTACACCGGAAAGAAACTGTGTATATATATTTGTACCTACTTTCCACAATTTTTCTTAATGATTCAAGTTTTTTTTATTGATTACGTACGTTGCATTTATTTTAATTTGCCTTTTAAGAAGATGGAAGATGATATGTTGCTTTGCTGCCTATGCATGTATGTGATAAAGCTCTTTCACGACGTATTAAAAAAAATAAAATCAATGTGAGTAAAATTATTATTATTGTTATTAATTAATTGCATGGTTTAATCAACGCATGTTTACAGTTTTCAATGTGATTTTATTAATTTATATTACTTAAATCTGACTATACACTATATGTGGAAATTGCCGGCAACCTGAATAGTATTGGTTGTTCATACAATTATAACTTCTCTCATGACATGAACTGTAATTTATGTAACATTCTGCATTCCGTAAAAGTTACTGCATGTGATGACTTAATTATGTGGTTGGAAGAATATGTTCGGCAAGAGTCGAGAAGTAATCCCGACCTTAATGCATTTCAATACTCGTGTTACTCATGCTTAAAATTGAAGCTGTTCCGATAGGGGGAGATCCCTCTGAAATAATTTATTAGCCAGGTCTAAAACTTTCAAAAGAAATCTAATCATATATCTGCACTAGGCGTATCCATGTTGCAGATCTTGCAACAATAAGCCCTGAAAATTTCGTAGTGATAACGTAAATTTCCCCTTATTATAAATACTTATTGCAATTGGGGTCGCATTTAACAAACCACTCAAACTAATTCTATAATCGGTATGTGACTGGCTAATTAAGTCACTAGTAGTCTTATCTATGTTGACGAATTTATCTTCTAAACCAATTGGCTAAGTCCATTTGGCTTCCTTTAGTCAGCTAAGTTCAGTTGGCCTCATCTAGATAATATAGTGAAGCCAATTGCAAATTCGAATGATATAGATAGGCATGGCAACGAGGCGGGGCGGGGACGGGTTTTATGTTCCCCGCCCCCATTCCCGCAAATTTAAACCGCCCCCGTCCCCGATACCCGCTGGGAATAAAATCTGGGTCCTCATCCCCGCCCCGCCCCCGTCCCCACTCCTATTTTTTTTCTTTTTTTCTTTTAAATAAATATGAATAATTTAAAAAAAAATAAAAGAA